GAACCACTTAAATCCTACTTTTTATACTTAATAAAATCACTTTTTGCTTATTAATTGACCCAGAGCAAGTAATTAATTCCTGGGGGAGCAAACAGCTGTGCATATCTCTCTATCGGTGTTATAAAGGGTGGACAATTTATGAATTTACCCTGTATAAGCTTTATACAGAGTAAAATGGATTTATTTGGGGTTTGGATTCCATTGGGAACTGGGTGTCTGGGTGCTAGAGACGGGAACACTTCTTAAGCTGTTTTCAGTTAAATCTGCGGCTTTTGGGGGACGTGGTTCAGATCTGGGTCTGTGTTTGCAGCAGGCTAGCGTGTCTGGCTCAACAAGACAGGACACTGAAGTCTCAAACTGCCAGGGAAAACGGGCTCAGAGGTACTCAGCACATCAGATGGCAGTCCCAAGGGGGTCTCTGTGACCCAACCCGTCACAATATTACAGTCTGCAAAGTTGGGAGCAGGGGGATCAGAAAGTGAGGCATGTAGACCTATGAAGAGTCAAGGAAGGAACCAAGGTCTTGGGGGAGGGGCAACTGCCGCCCCCCCCATTGCACCATAGCAAATGACACCCCTGTTTTGCCCATGAAAAAAAATTCTTATAACTGTTTCATTGAGAAGCTCGAGCACTTCCATGTTTTGCACCAGAGGCTTGAAATGTGGCAGAGGGGTGGCCCTGATGGCTGTGCTATTCCGGCAAAAATCCACCTAAATCTGGCGCAATTATCAACCTTTTAAAAAAATCTCAGTTTGCACATGCTCAGTAGAGACTTGTTAGAGTTGGGCAGCTAAAATCTCAGCAGAGTCCATGCTCCAGCCAAGGGCTGCAGAACTGTCCCTACAATTGCTGCTCCTGTGGGGGACAGGGGAGAAGAATTGCAGACCACAGGGTGGGGAGGGGGACAAAGGCAGGAGCAGAGGGGGGCCGAAGCCAGGAGTGGGGGAGAGGATATAAGAGGGGAAGGAGTTGTAGAGGGGAGAGGCTAGGAGTCAAGGTGGGGAGGCTGAAGCAGGAGCTGGGGAGTGGAGATTGGAACAGAAGGGGACAGGGAGGGAAGAGGGGCAGAAGAGTGTAACCACAAGACCCTCCTCTCCAGACCCTGGATTGGATCCCAGGATCCCTGAGTCTCTATATGCCTCTGCTGTGACCAAATAGCTATCAAAGCTACTGGTAAAGTCTGTGTCTCCATCCCCCTCTAGTGGCAGGTGCAAATATTGCACTGGGCATAGCACAGGAACGGGGGCACTGCCGGAGGAGCCCGTATAAAGGCGAGAACCCTGTAAATCGGTGACACTGTGCGCTCACAGCTGGAACTGCAGTCACTGGGACCTGTATTTTGAACATATCAACTGCTGTATAACGCTAAGTACTATGGAAGATCAGGCCCTGACTGGGCACCCAAAATTAGTGGGCACTTGGCAATGGTGGCCTTAATCTCTGTGTGCCTCCGTTTCCTGTGTGCGTACGGATAATGTCTTCAACCGGATCATTCATTAATGTTTGGGAAGCTCTCAGACACAACGCTGAGAGCACCACAGGAACGCCCAGGAGGAAACGCCCAGTTCTGTGTGTGGATGGGGCAGTAAATAATGCAGGGGCCACACACTGGATCGGGAGGCTAAAAGGCAGTGCCCAGGCACAGAAGGAGGCAGGGTCTCATGGAAACAGTAGCTCGTGATCATGCCATTAAAGGCTGTAGCATAATGCACATGGGCACGGGGGCAGAGTTACAGCTGCACGGGCATCTCCTAATTTTCAAGGGCTTCACTTTGCAACCTGAATGTTCTTTCAAATGTAGGGTTTTTTATCACATTATCCCTAGACCTGCAGCATTGTTATTGCAGTGCATGGTATGCTGCTGTTTCTCTAAGGGAGAACTGCGGGGTGGAATTTCACTGCCTGTAGAACTCAGAGCCACTGGCAGAGTCGGTGTCACGGAGATGGGAAATTCACCACACCACTAGAAGTACTGGCTTGCTGCGGGGTCTCTGCTAGGCTTGAATGATGGCAAGAGAGGGGAGAGCAGCGAATGATGCCAATAAAGGGGATGGGATGAATATTAGCTGTAGTTTGAGCAATAGGAATTGCAGCAGTCTGAGCTGAAGGGAATTACTCTGAATTGCCAGTCCTATTCCTCTGGCTTAGGAAGGCAGAGAAACGAAACTAGGATACAGGTGTGTTGTGTAACACTGAGAGACCCCTGTTGTGCCAGGCGCTGCACAGAAACACAGCAAGAGAGTCCCTGCTGCAGCTGAGATCAGGGGCCTGTTGTGCCGGGCGTTGCCCGGACACACAAGGAGAGACCAGGCCCTGCCCCAGCTGAGATCAGTGCCCCATTGTGTCAGGCGCTGCACAGACACACAGCGAGAGACAGGCCCTGCCCCAGCTGAGATCAGGGCCCCGCTGTGCCAGGCGCTGCAGAGACACAGCGAGAGACCGGCTCTGCTGCAGCTGAGATCAGGGCCCCATCGTGCCAGGCGCTGCCCAGACACACAGGGAGAGACAGGCCCTGCCCCAGCTGAGATCAGTGCCCCATTGTGCCAGGCGCTGCCCAGACACACAGGGAGAGACAGGCCCTGCCCCAGCTGAGATCAGTGCCCCATTGTGCCAGGCGCTGCACAGACACACAGCAAGAGACAGGACCTGCCCTGAACAGCTCACAGTTTAAACAGACAAGGGATGAGAGGGGAAGGCACTTGCCTGAGGTCACCCAAAAGGTCCATATTTCCCTTAGCTGGGTGCTCCCTCTACGCTTGGACTCTTTGGGTTAATCTGGTTTCACCAGAGACCCATGGCTAGTAAATGTTGTTCTGTAGCCTCATTCCCCCCACGAATCCCAGCGCTGCTCACACACTGCACTCACACAGCTTCGCTGTCCTGTGCTCAGACCCTACGGCAACCAGCGCAGTGTTAGAACGTGGAACAGAACCAGGGCAAAGGGCTGAGTCCCTGCTCTCTGCCTTCGCACCTGATTCTCCAGGGCACGGAGGTATTTGAAAGTTGATGCCACCAAGCTTTCTCCTTCAGGCCAGCACGGTCCCATACCCACCAGGGATGCACCTTGCCTTGCAGCTCCCACAAAACCAGGCACCAGAGACATACAAGGATGTCCTAGGCAGGGACTTGTCTCGGCACCCCTCCTCTGTGCAGAGTTTAGATCTGCAGCTGCAGGACCGTGCCCACGGCGTGACTTGGCCAACCGAGGCGCTCCGGGGCTGGGAGATGGAGCTGCCGGCAGGGCAGGATTACCGCAATCCAGGGCTGCAGGCATACTCCAACACAGCTCCGCCCTCACACTGTGGCCCCGCCCCACCCCACCTCTTCTTGGGATGGTAATGGCAGGGGCCACCCTCACAAAAGCCATCTGGTGGGGCCTGCCCACCTCCCTGGGTCACTGCTTCCCTGGCTGCCTGTAGGAGAGGGTTTGTCTTGGAGGGGGAGGGCTTGGCTCTGCTAGGGTGACCAGATGTCCTGATTTTATAGGGACAGTCCCGATTTTTTGATCTTTTTCTTATATGGGCTCCTATTACTCCCCACCCCGTCCCGATTTTTCACATTTGCTGTCTCGTCACCTT